CCTCTCTGTGTCTCTGTTCCTCTCTCTGTCTCTGTTCCTCTCTGTGTCTGTTCATCTGTGTGTCTCTGTTCCTCTCTCTCTCTCCAGGTTTTATTGATACAAGAATTTCGCTCGTCTTTGTTTTTGAGAGGCAAATTTTTCAATGACCCTGGTGTTGAAATCAGGAATGTCTTTTGTCATTTTCTTCTCGATGGAGAGCATAGCCAGAGCGTTGAGCCGATCTTGTGACATAGTGTTCTTAAGGAACGTTTTTATCCTCTTTAAGGTAGAGAAGCACCTCTCAGACTCTGATGTTGTCATTGGTGTTGTGATGATGATGTTGAGAAGACTTACAGTTTCAGTGAATGTTTCTCCAAGGTTGTTTTCCATCAAAACCTGATAGAGAGCCAGTGCACCTTTGTAACTCCGGAACTCCTCATTCTCGTAGATCAGGGACAGTTCTGTTTTAAGTTTGGCCTTGTCCAATGAGGGATAGGCTTCCACTGTGGTTTCCAGTGCTGAATCTGGGAACTTTCTGCTGTGCTGTTGGAACAAGTCTCCTTGCAAGAGTGTGGCGCTGATGAGGTGCTTGGTGAAAGAAAACCTCTCCTTGGAATGGCTCATGATGGTGTCACATACCTATGCGATAATATACAATTTTAAAAAAGGGAAAGAATTAGGTCTTCACATGTCTCACTACAATCAATGTTCTGAATAGCTAGCCTATATTGTGTAATAAACCAAAATGGTTAACTGTAATTATTCATAGATATTGTCAAATGACAATATACATTTGAGTCTGGACTACTCAGATTAGGAACAGCCTCCCTGATCCAATACATAATTTTTATGAGCCAGTTGTGAAAACTGGTTAGGGATATATTAACCAAACCCAAGGTTGTTGTTGTAATTACTGGCAATTATATTTCAACTAAACTTCACAGATAAATGAATTGTTTGAATCAGATGACATAAGCATTTAAGGCTACGTATAATTTATGCAGAAAATTAACAATTAGGCTAGGCTACATAATAATGCATTTAACATACCTGATAGCCTGCATGCGGTTAATGAATGCCTGGGTGATTCCTGCGATGTAGACAGCATCGATGTTTCTCTTCTGGAGCTGATTATACAGCATGTCTACATGTGGCATGATCTTATGGAACAAGGCTAGGTAAAAACAGAAAGCTTCATCTTCCAGCATTCTCACATAGCCTCCAGCCTCTCTCTTCGTATGGCCATCAAATGCTTCACTGTTCCGGATTTTCTCAAAACACTTCACCAGTTCATTCTTGTGCTCATAGACTGTGTTGACTGCGCGACTGTTGAAGTTCCAACGTGTTGACGATGCACTTGGAAGTCGGTGCGCCACCATCTCATCTAGCACTGCAGTTCTCTTGCTCGATTTTGAGAAAAAAGAAGCAAATCCCCCCCATGTCGGTAAAAAAGTGACTGATCTGAGGGATGTGGGAGGTTGCCTGCTGCATGACCAGGTTTAACTGATGGGCATAACAGTGAATGTAGTGAGCGTTTGCATAGATGTCCTGTACCTTTCGCTGCACTCCTCCAGTGGCACCCCTCATTACCGCTGCCCCATCATATGCCTGGGCTATCAACTTTTCTTCTTGTCCTTCAGGAAAGATGCTGTGCAGGCTCTCCAATAAGGCTCCGGCTATTGAATCCGCACAGCTGTTGGGTAGCTTGATGAATTCATAGAACCGCTCCTGTATATTGTTGCGTCCATCAATGTATCTTAGTACCAGGACTAGCTGACAGTGTGTGGAAATGTCTGTAGTTTCATCAGCTTGGATAGCTAAAAACTCAGCTGTCTTTATTTCATCCACGATCTGTTCTCTTAGAACTGTCAGCATACAGTCCAGGAGCTCGTTCTGAACTGTCTTCAAGTTGCTTTTAAATATGGTCGCATTTTCAAGGTGCTCCCTCAAGTCCCGATCAATGGATGCCATTAAGTCCACTAAACCTCTGAATATTCCGGCGTTGTCTGAGGAATCCCTTTCATCATGTCCCCGCATTGCTAATTCAAAAGCACCACAAAATTTAACACAATCGATGATCTTAGATAAAATATTCCGGTTTCTATCTACCTCTTCATTGTGCCTTCTTACAGCAATGCGGTGCCCATCATCTAGCTGCGCTGCTATGCTAATCTTTCCGAACACAGCTAGCTTTATGCAGTTTTCCATGTGAACTTTGGATCTATCATGCTTCTTGATCCGTTCGGAGAGGTGCTTTAAGTCAGTTAGTCCAGTCTTTGTCCAAGTCGAGTCACATTTGTCATTTCTGAAGAGGATACAGAAAAGAGCATTGGCTGCTCCACAACCTGCCAGCCACGTCTTACGGTTGAACCAGCTCCGACAAAAACTCTGTTTATAACATTTGTCTTTCACCTTGATTTGCTGGGAAATGTTCATTTCAGGGCTGTCGGGTCCCAGCTCCTTAACGAGAAGTTTTTCCTCCACCGTCCGTCTTGCAAAAGGGTACATTAATAATGATTTCACCGCATTTGGTGGAAGCTGCTCTTGAACTCCGGTTGTCACCGCCATCGCCATCATCTCTCTCCTCGTCGTCGCGCGTATTTTCCCCCCCGTAGCGTAGGACGGAGAATGGGAGTCGCACTACGAAAAAAAACTATCGCTGGCTCCTCATGTAGCTTTAGCAATCCTAAACCTTCACGCATTTTACGTAGCAGTTGGGGCTAAATTTCCAGCACCCCACCGGCGTTAAATTTGGCGACGTTTTTTGGCCAATTATTCTTAATTTCCCCCTAGCAACCATAACCGGATTGGCTGTTTAGCTGCAGGTCAGGGGCACTTTGCCGATCGCCCCATGAGAGAATGATACACTGTCTGTCAGTGGAAATTCACTGTTTAATGAGTGTCAGTTGGTGCAAAAGTTGTTTAAATGATTTAAATTGCATGTAGGCACACACTATTAAGTAAAACTGACATTGATTTAAAAAATAAAATAAAATAAAAATTCCCCTCAACAGTTGGTGGGGCTGAGCCCCAGCGCCCCCTATGGGCCAGCCGCCACTGATATACTGGATGTATGCGTATGCATCTGACACGTTAAGTAATGGACTGATGCACAACGGAAAATAGGGCTCCCGCGAACTCTATCATTTTACTGGCTAGCAAACATCAAGCTAATCTGCCGTCTGTGGAACAAATTGTGTATTTTGAAATACACAGAGAGAAAGAACATTTTTGGATTTTCTCTTTAGCAACGCTACCAACACCTCTATCGCATCTGTCTTGGAGTTAATTGCCTTTAGTGTCCATTGTTTTTGTATCTTTTTTGGACAATGAAAAATCCAATGTTTATAACAATACCGCAGCCAGATCAAATGAGAAAAGTATATAAATATTTGTCCTTGGTCAGGGAGTATTTAAAAGTCTGATGGTTGTATCCTTTTGAGCTAAATAATAATATTTTAGATTGTGTCACATCTGATCAAAGCAAACCAGATTTTGAGGAAAAAATTACCGAAATGATGAAAAATGATGCAAAAAGTGAATTTATTTGAAGCTTATATAGTGAAGCAGTAAACCTTGAACACAGACCAACTCATACCATTGCAGAGGAAACAGCAGCAGACCTGAAAAAAATATTATTCTTCAGATTGAGAAGAGAATATGAAATAGTTTTTAATCAATACAAACTTTCCAGGTGTCACATCTTAGTTAAAATTTATGAGGAAACAAAATGAGCAAACAGTGGCAAGTCTGTGAGAACGAAATCACTCCCTACTGTACAGCTCACTACATTTATCGTTATTTAGGTTTCATTATACCCTTCAGTTTATCCACTATGTGAAAAAGCAGTGTCTGTAGAATGACCAGAAAATTTTTAGTTGACCAATTTCAGTCATGGGACATCTCACCTGTCAGTGATGCCACTAAATAAAGTTGCTTTCAGACCTGCACTGAAGTCAGTACATTTTGGACAAGCTGGATGTGAGAACACAAATGTCCAAGTCCAAATAAAAGATCATAAACCTCCATGTTAGCAGATGTCAAAGATGTTTCTGTCATTTCATCACTGATGTTTGTTCAAGTGTTTCTGATCAGTTTGGTTTGAATTAGTTATTTGACGATATATAAACAGGCTGATTGACAGCTGACACTGTATCAGGATTGACAGCTGACACTGTGTCAGGATTGACAGCTGACACTGTGTCAGGATTGACAGCTGACACTGTGTCAGGATTGACAGCTGACACTGTGTCAGGATTGACAGCTGACACTGTGACAGGATTGGTTGAGAACATCTATCAACAGGACTTTGACACCACGGCTCCACGATCACTCCTGCACAATCTCTGACTGTAAATGACGTCATCACCACAAGATGTCAGCGCTAATATCTGAGATATTTTGACTTCAAGGTTCAGTGTAAGATTGAATTTAATTTAAATAATCCTTGTGATGTGTTTGTGTTTCATCTAAATTGTATGTATTGTAAACACTTCCAACTCTGGACATTTTTCAGAAATGATATCGGCTAATTTGTCTTTTTCATAACAGTTCAGTTATTCCTCTGTCCTGTGGTAATAACCAGGTTCAAGACCACAGAACATGATGATAATGAAACGATAAATGAGAATTCCCTTCAGACAAGACAGAAACAGAATGCAGTCAGAGAAGAAGCAAAGCATGAGAACAGAAGAAACTCCTCATTGGCTGGTTAGGAGGAGGAGGCGGAAGAGGAAGTGATCTTCTTCTTCATCACCCTCCGAGTGGACTGTCTGGGAACTGCAGCCGGACCTGGACCGGAGGCAGGGCCAGCGTTGGTGTTAGTGGCGCGGCTGGCCTTGATCTCATCGATGAAAGTTTCGATGGCGGAGAACTTCTCGGTAAGGTCGCCCAGGTGAGCTTTGAGGGCATTGAACTCTTTGTAGAGGTCGTCCAACACCTCGGACAGCGGCTGGATCCTGAACAGGGACATACAGAGAGCACATATACGTTTTCTGGTGAGGTTTGAATCATGAGTCAAGCAGGTCTGACATGGTCAGTCTGGTACCAGATCACCTCAAGGTGTATTGTCATTCATCCACATATCTGGGGTCAAGAAGCAAAAAACAAGGAAAGGCTGAACATGGAAAATAAAAACAATAAATGCAGGTCCCTGAGGGGCATGTATAAAAGATTTTAATGCAAGTGCACATACTATACAACATTATAAACAGTTGGAAATTGAGAATAAAGTCATTAAAATGAAAATTCCCTCATTATCTTCTCATCACTATGCCGATGGAGGGTTGGTGTTTCAGTCCAAAAAAAACACTTTTGGAGTTTCAGGGGTAAACAGAGTTGCAGCCAATCCAATACAACTGAAGCACCTGGTGACTGCTTCTTCAAACATACAAAAACATCAGAAAAAAAACATAAAATGTGTCCGTAAGCCCTGACATTCAAATTCGACTTGAAACGGTTTCAATTACACCATGTTTTAGTCTAAATGTCTGCTACCAGAATTAGCAATGCTACTGCGCAGCCCTTGGACATAAGCTTGTGTGCAGTGTGTGTGTTTCCGGTGTGTGCATCAAATGTAAACGCAGCCCCAGAGGAAGCTATCAGAGGACACATAGGCTTGAAACATGGTGTAAATTATACTGTTTCAAGTCAAGTATGAATGTCATTTTACATTTGAAGAATAAATCACTATTTAGCTCAGTTGTGTTAGATTTGGCTGCAACGCTGTTTACCCCTGAAAAGTGTTTTGTGGACTCAAACACTTCACCTACCTACCTATCAGCATAGTGGTGAGAAGATAATGAGTTAATTTAAAGTTTTCGGTGAACTATCCTTTTAAATTGGCAGCTGAAGAGTCCAACACATATTTCAGTCACACTGCACTCAAGTGAAGGTAAAAGAGTCACAAAACAAACTCTCAAATTTTTAAATTATCCTTGACCCAACAAAAGAATGTTCTCTCTCTTTGATCATTTCCTCACATGACTATGAAGTACATATAGAGTGAATCATGGGGACATAATTTTTTATATACAGTCGTGACTCAGGTAATCAGCCTGTTTATAATTTACGGTACAATAATATAAAACTAGAAAATCTCTCCTGCCGAGACATTTTGAATGGGTGCCTTGTGCTCGTTGACGCCGCTCGCACAGAGAGACACATATTATCCAGGTTTACATGAGAGACGGTGAGAGCGAAAGACATTTCCAAAAGCTGCTTGATTTTATAATCATGCATGTTCCAGGTCGGTGACAGAGACTTGACCAATTTCAGAGAGACAGAGAGAAACCATGTTGTAAGGTCTTATCACCATCCATGGAATTTAATCTTAAAAATTCAGCCTCTTTCAGGCTTCCTGGGAACATCCTGTAACTATTTGTGGATTTTATTTGGAAAATCCAGACTCTTTTGGGCTTCCTGGTAAGGTCTTGTCATCATCCAGGACTTTTATTTTGAAAAACCAGCATCATTTAGGCTTCCTGGAAACATTCTGTAACTATTTGGGCATTTTATTTTGAAGGTCCAGTGTTTTTGAGACTTCCTAGGGACATCCTGTAACTAGTTGGGCATTTTATTTTGAAAAACCAGCATCTTTCAGGCTTCCTGGGAACATTCTGTAACTATTTGGGCGTTTTATTTTTAAGGTCCAGCGTTTTTGAGACTTCATAGGGACATCCTGTAACTATTTGGACATTTTATTTTGAAAAACCAGCATCTTTCAGGCTTCCTGGGAACATTCTGTAACTATTTGGGAGTTTTATTTTGGAAATCCACTCTTTTTCCGGCTCCCTGGGAACATCCTGTAACCAGCTGGGGGTTTTATTTTGAAAAACCAGGCTCATTACATGTTTCCTAGTAACATTCTATTACTATGGGGGGGCTTATTTTCAAAATAAAGGCTCTGTACAGACTTCCTGGTAACATCCAGGGGGGGCTTCTAACTCAAAATCTATAAGTCCTATCTGAGAAATAAACACATTGTGAGAATCACAAGACTTTGGCCGACGTCCACATATGTTATTATTTAATAAGAGTTAAGAAATGAGACGGTAAGAGCGATTTAGAAATTTAGTTTTCTCATCAGGAATCATTTTTTTAGCTTTCCATCGAAGCCCCATGCAATGCAAGGCACCCATAACTATTCATATAAAATATTTAACAAGTCTAAATTTAAAAAGGTTTTAATTTAAATAAAACATTTATTCAAGATAAATTTTAGACAGGAAGTTAAGTCAGAAAAGAAGAATGAAGGAAAAGAGAGAATGTAAAGTCGTAGCTGAAGAAAAAAAATTGTTGCACATGGCACTTACTTGTAGCACTTTTGTAGTTTGGCTTTTTTGAACCAAATTGTACTTACTTGATTCTTGTTGTTCTGGGTTTGTACCATCATGGTTAATGCACTTATTCTAAGTCGCTTTGGATAAAAGTGTCATCTAAATGAAATGTAATGCGATGTAATGAAGAAAAACCTAAGAGAATGACTTTAAACATGTATTCTCTGTTATTGTTTATTTGACTTCTGGACCATAATGATGTCTCAACCTCTTAACTGTGACGAGAAGGAGGGAACACCAGACTTCCTCTGTGGAAAATCTCAAGCTTTTTCTTTCAGGTTTCTATTTTCACTTTTAAATGGAAGTTTCCGCCGCAGCTTCTCATGACAGCAACAACATAGAGTGAACCCAGTAAAAACCTCAGACTTTATTTCCATCCTGAAGCGTTCCTGTGGTAAGTTTCTGCCTCCAGACTGATTTCATTCATGTGGAATATTCTGCTCACTGGAAACACACTGGAGGAAAAAGATAGTTTGCTCTGTCATTTGTGATGAAACTTGTGGAGATAATTCAGATGATTTAAACTCAACTCATGAATTCATCTTTTCACATATCTCCACAGCTTCCACTAGGGGGGCAACAAAGGAAGAGCATGGGAATTTAAACCTGAAGCAACTGATCTTCATGTTACAACTGAAATACTACTTGTCCTACAAATTGTCCTTTAGAATTTTTGAAACCACTGCCAAAAGATAAAACTGATATATGAACAACGTGAAATTTTGGAATACAAGATTATAATGGCTAATAATGGTTATTTATCTATCTAATAATTTAAGAAATCTCTGTCTGTCTGTCTGTGTCTTCCATATCTTGAAAACCATTAATCTTATTGGATTCACAGCTGTGAATGTGTTATGTTAAGGGCCCAAGGAATTGCTGTGTCGTATATGGTGCGATCTGGACATGCAATACATTGCAATCAGTGCTCTGGAGCAGCGGAGGCTGGGACTCATCAACTTAACCAACGTTGTAAATCATTAAAACAGTGCATTCACGACAACTGCAACAACAACTGATTCTCCTGTTCAGAGGTCACTTAAAGGGATAGTTCACCGAAAAATGAAATTTCACTATCTACTCACCACTATGCTGATGGAGGGGTGGGTGAAGTGTTTGAGTCCACATACCACTCAAACACTTCACACACACACACACACTGCTGCTGTTGACTGCTTGATTGAACAGATGGGGATCAATCTACTCATCCAACCATCCAAAAGTACTTTCCAAAGTGTTGAAGTATTTCTTTTAAGATCTGAACCAGTTCAATCTCCGCCTCTCGTGTCCTCGCTCCTCATACATACCGGGCGTAATCGGGGAGCAAAGACTGGTGGTCGTTCTGCAGGAGTCCTTTCATCTGGTTCATGATGTCGAACTTCCAGTTGTCCAGAACCTCAGTCAGGTTAGCCACGCCACGCATTTTTACCCTCTCAGCTGGGACAGAAGGGGACATGTTTACAATTACAACCGATGCAGAACAGAACAATGGAGGCTTGTGAGTCTAACACTCTTTTAAAGTCAGAAAGGTCAGAATCATATTCAGGGCAAACTGAATCCGCTCCGCTCATATTAAAGCAACACTATGCAAATTTCTTAAATTCTTAAGATTTCAAAACAGAGTTTGGGGCTTTTGGTGTGTTCAGGAAGCCACCGTTGTTCAGAGTTTCTGCTTAGTGGGTGGGACTGGCAGCAGAGGGCGCTGTTGCTAAGTAATAGTTACATAGTGTTCAGAAAAAAAAAATTGTTGTTCACAAGGGCAAGAACATGAGATTTCTTGTCTTTATATTGTTGTCTACAGATGAACCAACAACATACACTGTGCAGTCATAGCTTTAGAGATTCTGAAAGATGTATTTTTTTAGCTTTGGACAAAGCCAGGCTAGCTGCCTTCTCTTACTTCTACTGTTTATGCTATGCTAAGCTAACTTACTATAACATATCTCTTTTTAGATTGTTTCAAATGTTGGTCATCCTTCAAACCGTCAAATTTTCTTTTACAAAACTCAAATTTGGTCAAATTGTTTATTAACACTGTCAAACATAGTGCATTTTGGCGTTGTTATGTGTTGGAGGTCAGTGCCTTTTGTGTTTCCCCATGTCTGAGCCCTGAACTTGACCTCTGACCCAGAGTAAACAAAGAGTAATCTGGGTGCTCACAGCCATCCCTGTAGTTCCACTCCCCGGTATTGGTCGACGTTGAAGGACGTCGTCTCTGGGCCAGCACTGTTACTGAGGCAACAGCCAATGACAGCAGCAGCACGCTCAGTTTGGAGGCCATTATCGAACCAGTACCTAAAAGGGAGGATGTTCATAATGACATTATTATGATCATTACAGCTGATGGGATAGTGATTCTATGACAAAAAAATTTCATACATTTCTTTTAAAATTCATAGCTTCAAATGTTTGTAATTTGAGTTAAACTATTCATTCACATC